CAACATACAGTCCATCATCACAGCATACAGTCCATCATCACAACCTACAGTCCATCATCACAGCCTATTGTCCATCACCACAACCTACAGTCCATCATCCCATCATCACAGTCCATCATCACAGCCAACAGTCCATCATCACAGCCTACAGTCCATCATCACAACCTACAGTCCATCATCACAGCATACAGTCCATCATCACAACCTACAGTCCATCATCACAGCCTACTGTCCATCATCACAACCTACAGTCTATCATCACAGTCCATCATCACAACCTACAGTCCATCATCACAACCTACAGTCCATCATCACAGCCAACAGTCCATCATCACAACCTACAGTCCATCATCACAACCTACAGTCCATCATCACAGTCCATCATCACAGCTTACAGTCCATCATCACAGCCTACAGTCCATCATCACAGTCCATCATCACAGCTTACAGTCCATCATCACATCATCACAGTCCATCATCACAGCCAACAGTCCATCATCACATCATCACAGTCCATCATCAAAACCTACAGTCCATCATCACAGCATACAGTCCATCATCACAACCTACAGTCCATCATCACAGCCTACTGTCCATCATCACAACCTACAGTCTATCATCACAGTCCATCATCACAACCTACAGTCCATCATCACAACCTACAGTCCATCATCACAGCCAACAGTCCATCATCACAACCTACAGTCCATCATCACAACCTACAGTCCATCATCACAGTCCATCATCACAGCTTACAGTCCATCATCACAGCCTACAGTCCATCATCACAGTCCATCATCACAGCTTACAGTCCATCATCACAGCCTACTGTCCATCATCACAACCTACAGTCCAACATCACAACCTACAGTCCATCATCACAGCCTACTGTCCATCATCACAGTCCATCATCACAGCTTACAGTCCATCATCACAGCCTACTGTCCATCATCACAACCTACAGTCCAACATCACAACCTACAGTCCATCATCACAGCCTACAGTCCATCATCACAGTCCATCATCACAGCCTACAGTTCATCATCACAGTCCACATTCCATCACAAAGGAGTTTTCATCACACAAGGTATTAACCTAACTATGGTTTGGTGTATAAATTCCTGTTTAACCATTCACACAGGAGTTTTCATCACACAAGTTGTTAACCTAACTATGGTTTGGTGTATAAATTCCTGTTTAACCATTCACACAGGAGTTTTCATCACACAAGGTATTAACCTAGCTATGGTTTGGTGTATAAATTCCTGTTTAACCATTCACACAGGAGTTTTCATCACACAAGGTATTAACCTAGCTATGGTTTGGTGTATAAATTCCTGTTTAACCATTCACACAGGAGTTTTCATCACACAAGGTGTTAACCTAGCTATGGTTTGGTGTATAAATTCCTGTTTAACCATTCACACAGGAGTTTTCATCACACAAGGTATTAACCTAGCTATGGTTTGGTGTATAAATTCCTGTTTAACCATTCACACAGGAGTTTTCATCACACAAGGTATTAACCTAGCTATGGTTTGGTGTATAAATTCCTGTTTAACCATTCACACAGGAGTTTTCATCACACAAGGTATTAACCTAGCTATGGTTTGGAGTATAAATTCCTGTTTAACCATTCACACAGGAGTTTTCATCACACAAGGTATTAACCTAGCTATGGTTTGGTGTATAAATTCCTGTTTAACCATTCACACAGGAGTTTTCATCACACAAGATATTAACCTAGCTATGGTTTGGTGTATAAATTCCTGTTTAACCATTAACACAGGAGTTTTCATCAATTGTATGAGATGGATGATACTAAGAGAATTCAATCAGTATCTTTATATCAAATACATGATCAGATACTGGTGTTTATTATTGTAAATGTGTAATTTTTGGTACAATGTAATATTAGGAAGAATAAGACATGACTAGGTAACAGTTCAACTCAAACTAAAATTTAAATATATATATTTTTTTTATTTCATTTTTCTACTATTATTCATGTGAACCTCTGGCATGCTTCAGGAAGAAGAAATTGAGACAAGTTTCATAAATTGTGTATAAAATCCAAACAAATTCAACCATAACAGTTTTATTTCTTTGCAACAATATTAGTAATATGCAACACCAAGTTTTATACAAAATACAGCTGGAATACAATAGTACTATGATCCAGCAAAATTTCCACACCATTGTCTATAATATAGGCTTAAATCTTCTTCAGCATAATTGTATCCAAATCATCAGAGCTTAAAAACATTCAAGATAAATTGGCAGTTTTTGAACGGATAAAATTCCTGACATTTGTAGTAATGGAATTCAGAACCACCAATAGTGCGTAGTACAACAAGCAAAGTATTCCCATGGAGAATAATTCTTGAAGTTTTATTGAAATAAGAACAGATTAACAAAAATTTAGACAAAGAAATGGTGAAAATCTGCAGTTTTGTTGTGGCACACATGATCCTCTTTTTCCTTTTCTTTCCCTAATTACTTGATTATTCTCCATAATTTTTGTTGTGTTTCAGTTTATATAAATCTCCCTACCATCAAAATCACTTTTTTTGGTGAAAAACCCCCATAAAACTAGCTTTTGTTGTTTGAAATTCCACATCATTTCTAAAATGATATTAACTTCCTGCAATATGTTCTCGGATTTAATCAGGAGAATTTTTGATGAATTAAAGTGTATTCTTGGTATGCGTTTCCAACAGTGGTGAACACAATCTGATATTTGACCCTGGACTCCCTGAATTGCTGACTTGGGTGGCAGTCTCCGCGTATTGGGAAGGATTACTGTACCTTTTATCAAGCTAATCATGTTGACGCCATTGTTTTTAGGGGGATTGGCTTTCAGTATTAACTGTCGTTTACCAACAGGTTGCAGATCTAATGCTCCATTAGCAGATGGTAACAAATTAAATTGCTAGAATCGGCCGTGTGCTGGAGCGGAGATGCACTCTGGATAGGTATTTTTCCCCCATTGATTTACCTGACTTTCGTGACATGATAAATATATACAACACAGTAGTATTATCCCAGTCCAAAGGCACACTTAGCGAAATTAAAATCTCTGGGGTCTAATCATTTAACAAACATTGGTTAAAGCGTGATTTTTCATGATCTATTTGAAAATGATTGAATGGATATGTGTTTTCATTTGTTTCGTTTTTTATTTTTTGTTTTTTCATTAGTGAGAAATTACAACAAAGTTGATGTATTCCATTAGAAACATAAAAGCTATCTTCAAAGGTGTGGCATTAAGAGATACCTATGTTTGTTACTGAGTCCATCAACTAGTAATCCTGTACAGAAATCAGTCTAAACAAAGATTGTGACAATTTCATAGTAACATTTAGATGTCAGTGTGATGGCAATTCTTCTTAAATGTATAATTCTATCACCTGGTCACCTAGTATCTAGACACTTAAATGTATAATTCTATCACCTGGTCACCTAGTATCTAGACACTTAAATGTATAATTCTATCACCTGGTCACCTAGTATCTAGACACTTAAATGTATAATTCTATCACCTGGTCACCTAGTATCTAGACACTTAAATGTATAATTCTATCACCTGGTCACCTAGTATCTAGACACTTAAATGTATAATTCTATCACCTGGTCACCTGGTATCTAGACACTTAAATGTATAATTCTATCACCTAGTATCTAGACACTTAAATGTATAATTCTATCACATGGACACCTGGTATCTAGACATTTAAATGTATAATTCTATCACCTGGTCACCTGGTATCTAGACACTTAAATGTATAATTCTATCACCTGGTCACCTGATATCTAAACACTTAAATGTATAATTCTATCACCTAGTATCTAGACACTTAAATGTATAATTCTATCACCTGGTCACCTAGTATCTAGACACTTAAATGTATAATTCTATCACCTGGTCACCTAGTATCTAGACACTTAAATGTATAATTCTATCACCTGGTATCTAGACACTTAAATGTATAATTCTATCACCTGGTCACCTGGTATCTAGACACTTAAATGTATAATTCTATCACCTGGTATCTAGACACTTAAATGTATAATTCTATCACCTGGTCACCTGGTATCTAGACACTTAAATGTATAATTCTATCACCTGGTCACCTGATATCTAAACACTTAAATGTATAATTCTATCACCTGGTATCTAGACACTTAAATGTATAATTCTATCACCTGGTATCTAGACACTTAAATGTATAATTCTATCACCTGGTATCTAGACACTTAAATGTATAATTCTATCACCTGGTCACCTGGTATCTGGTATCTAGACACTTAAATGTATAATTCTATCACCTGGTATCTAGACACTTAAATGTATAATTCTATCACCTGGTCACCTGGTATCTAGACACTTAAATGTATAATTCTATCACCTGGTCACCTGATATCTAAACACTTAAATGTATAATTCTATCACCTGGTATCTAGACACTTAAATGTATAATTCTATCACCTGGTCACCTGGTATCTAGACACTTAAATGTATAATTCTATCACCTGGTCACCTAGTATCTAGACACTTAAATGTATAATTCTATCACCTGGTATCTAGACACTTAAATGTATAATTCTATCACCTGGTCACCTGGTATCTAGACACTTAAATGTATAATTCTATCACCTGGTATCTAGACACTTAAATGTATAATTCTATCACCTGGTCACCTGGTATCTAGACACTTAAATGTATAATTCTATCACCTGATATCTAGACACTTAAATGTATAATTCTATAATGCTTTCAATCTATATATATATGACCTTGACCTACCTATCTATTGGCTGTTTTCTACAGCTATGACCTTGTTTTATCACGATACATCTATAACGTACTTGTTGAAATAATGCTTTCAATCTATATATATATGACCTTTACCTATATCACTGGACATTTTTTCAAGGTACATAAATGACCTTGACCTTTCCTATTGGGTGTGCTCTACATTTCTACGACCTTAACCTACCTAATGGATCTTGTTCTGTTCCGATATCCTTGATTTGATCAGGAGTGTATCCCATCTGTGAGAGTCTGACGTTCACATACTTGGTCAAGTAGTTGAGTTCTTCATCTGTTAGATTCTCTGGGTGAATTTGACCTAAAACATATATTTTCTGGAATTTAACCATTTTCAAAATGGAAACAAAATTCTTTAAAATGAGCAAATCAACCATTTAAAGTAGCTAATATCTCTACAATGTTGTCTATTATTGTTGTATATCATAGCTAATATCTCTACAATGTTGTCTATTGTTGTTGTATATCATAGCTAATATCTCTACAATGTTGTCTGTTGTTGTATATCATAGCTAATATCTCTACAATGTTGTCTGTTGTTGTATATCATAGCTAATATCTCTACAATGTTGTCTATTGTTGTTGTATATCATAGCAAATATACCTACAATGTTGTCTGTTGTTGTTGTATATCATAGCTAATATCTCTACAATGTTGTCTGTTGTTGTTGTATATCATAGCTAATATCTCTACAATGTTGTCTATTGTTGTTGTATATCATACCTAATATCTCTACAATGTTGTCTATTTTTGTATATCATAGCTAATATCTCTACAATGTTGTCTGTTGTTGTTGTATATCATAGCTAATATCTCTACAATGTTGTCTGTTGTTGTATATCATAGCTAATATCTCTACAATGTTGTCTATTGTTGTTGTATATCATAGCAAATATACCTACAATGTTGTCTGTTGTTGTTGTATATCATAGCTAATATCTCTACAATGTTGTCTATTGTTGTTGTATATCATAGCTAATATCTCTACAATGTTGTCTGTTGTTGTATATCATAGCTAATATCTCTACAATGTTGTCTATTGTTGTTGTATATCATAGCTAATATCTCTACAATGTTGTCTATTGTTGTTGTATATCATAGCTAATATCTCTACAATGTTGTCTGTTGTTGTATATCATAGCTAATATCTCTACAATGTTGTCTATTGTTGTTGTATATCATAGCTAATATCTCTACAATGTTGTCTGTTGTTGTATATCATAGCTAATATCTCTACAATGTTGTCTATTGTTGTTGTATATCATAGCTAATATCTCTACAATGTTGTCTATTGTGGTTGTATATCTAATATCTCTCCAATGTTGTCTGTTGTTGTATATACAAATCTGACCATCAGTTTTGCGGACATGTTAGACTTATAATCAAGAAAATTTCATATACATTGTGATACCTATCAGATCATTCTGAAACACATATAAATACTTTAAATAATGTTATTTTTAAGGTCACTTTTTTTGTTTAGTTTTTTTTTTTTTTGCCATTTTCTAGGCTGGAATAAAATCACAAAAAAATGAAACATTAAAGATACCCACTGTGGCAGAAAATATTTCCATCTTACTTAAAACTTTTAGCAGAATAGTTAAGATTTTAACCATAAAAATGGGCCTTTGAAGTTTCCTATGAGATAGATCAGAAGTACGCAATGAGAAATGTTTAGTGAAAAATTGTGAACTACAAATGGCATACAGCCAAAGATGGTCGATATGTGCTGGTATCACAATGAATGATAGAGCTTTTTGCAAAAATATTTTCAATCTGATACCTTATAGTGCAAATGTTTGATTTTAAATATAGCTGTATATGTCCTTCACATGAGGAGGGACTGTGTAGAGCCCAATTTTACTTCTATAAATCTTCTCAGCGACTCCCCCGAGACATCCCGCCAAATTATGCCAATAAATGGCAGCCATTACTGCAAATTCTTCGCCCTTCATCGTTAATCACGCTAGCTCAATGCTAGTGATAAAACACACATTTCTTCATGCCCGTTGCTTAAATTAACGGTCTTGGCTTTCACAGTACAAAACTGTGTCCTTCTAATTTGTCAGCCATTGTTGGTAGTTGGCCATCATTGTCACAGTACCACTGATGGATCCAGCAAACTACGAGCATCGCTAGAACTACATGCTGTTTTAATACCAGCAATGAAAAGCAAGCAAGAGTTTGTTTGAATTGGATGTTTCCCCGGAAACGAAGCACGGAGAACTCCAGCAGTGATACCATTAAGACTCTCCCTTGTCATTTGGTGTACATGGTAACAAAGACACCAGCGTACGCCTAAATTTAAATGTATAGAATAATTAAATTTGAACCGCTGGCAGCTTAAGTGCTAAATTGAAATAAAAGTGTCGTATTCTGTAAGACAAATGCATTGTTGGTAGGAATTCTGACTTATACGAGGAGCAACATTACCGCCATACAATAAAGCTTTTTGGTCATCTTGCAATCCCACTAGTCTGCATCAGAATTGGCAGAGAGAGACTTGGTTTTACATGACAAAAAGAGTTTTTCTCAAAACACACAATGCTTCTAACAACATTCTAAAAATCCTGCATGAAGTGAAGACTACCCTGTATGTGTGTGGAAAGTTTTCTGTCTCCCTGTAAGGTGTAATACAGACTTACCCATCATCAGTTTTGATAAAAGGTTGGCATATTTGGCTGGCAGATTAATATCTCGATCTGATTCTGTCAGTGAAATTGGTTCATCTGTCAAAATATATAGTTATATATAGTATGGGTTTTTAATTCCAGTTCTATATGTAAAAACTCTTGGTTTTTAGTTTCAGTGTATAAGGTGAAACAAGGGGAGGGGTATTGAAAAGCTAGTTTTCTTCAATATTATTATTCAGTTGGCCTCAAAAGGGAGCTACATCTTTACTTAATATATCAAAGCCGTCCCAAACCTCAGGAATGAAGGAATGCATTCATAGAAGCAAAATTGTATTTGATCATAACAGAATGCAAATGAATACATCATTGCTTTCAAGGTATTTTAGATTACTTCAAGGAGATGCCAAATTCATTAAGAAATATGATAAAAAAATCAGAATACAAACCATTAACAGCTTCCTGTGTCTCATCTTCTGAGGACCATTCATAAGGGTTGTCTCCCTTCGTTTCTGATGCCGTCTCCTCCCAGGTAGGCTTGGCATCTACCCAGTCCTGTGAAAGTGCATCGTTGTATTGGTCAGCTGAAAACACGTCATTATCCACAGGTATAGCATCCTGATAGTATCCAGTCATCTGGTCATTGTTGTCCGTGGGATTGACCTGGTCAAAATCCTCATCTGAATACATTTGGTTGTCCGGAAATTCTTGGTCATCCATTCGCAACTGCTGCAGATAATACTGTACTTGCTGAAGATCATCCGGAGTGAGGCCATAACTGTCTCTCTTGCCTGCTTCATAGATAGACGGTTCCAATTCTCTAGTTCCTGAGAGGTAGTTTAAATAATTTTCTCCATCATCATTAGAAAATTCTCTTTTAAGATATGGCTGTGGTGATTTGTCAAAATATTTATGTACTTTAATGATTTCATCACGTTTGTCAGCATTATTACTCAGTAACATACTGTCCACCTGTGGTTCGTAAGCATTATAATAATCTTGAAATAATTTTTCCAATGCCGTGGAAATTTCCCTATTAACATCATAATCTCGCTGTTCTGTCCATGAAGTCTCAACTTTTTCACATTTACTTGGGTGAAATGTTCTATGTTTCCTAAAGGCATACAGAGCATTCTGAATTATACACTGGGTTAGCTGATCCTGCCAGGAGTAGCCTCCCTTGATTAGACCAAGTATTTGTTCCTTTAGAGATTCAAGGGACTTTTGACTGAGTTGGTACTGAAACGGCTCCTCCTGGACCCGATCCACTCGCTGGCAGTTCCCAAAAAGTAAATCTGTAACACAAAACAATAAATGCTCAACAGAAAATATTATCCACACAATACATTTACCTTTCTAAACCTCTGTAATTACATTTACCACACAATACATTTACCTTTCTAAACATCTGTAATTACATTTACCACACAATACATTTACCTTTCTAAACATCTGTAATTACATTTACCACACAATACATTTACCTTTCTAAACATCTGTAATTACATTTACCACACAATACATTTACCTTTCTAAACATCTGTAATTACATTTACCACACAATACATTCTAAACTGTAATTATATCTACCACAAAATACATTCACTACCTTTCTAAACATCTGTAATTACATTTACAACACAATACATTTACCTTTCTAAACATCTGTAATTACATTTACAACACAATACATTTACCTTTCTAAACATCTGTAATTACATTTACCACACAATACATTTACCTTTCTAAACATCTGTAATTACATTTACCACACAATACATTTACCTTTCTAAACATCTGTAATTACATTTACACACAATACATTTACCACACCTCTGTAATTACATTTACCACACAATACATTTACCTTTCTAAACATCTGTAATTACATTTACCACACAATACATTTACCTTTCTAAACATCTGTAATTACATTTACAACACAATACATTTACCTTTCTAAACATCTGTAATTACATTTACCACACAATACATTTACCTTTCTAAACATCTGTAATTACATTTACCACACAATACATTTACTTTTCTAAACCTCTGTAATTACATTTACAACACAATACATTCACTTTTCTAAACCTCTGTAATTACATTTACCACACAATACATTCACTTTTCTAAACCTCTGTAATTATATCTACCACAAAATACATTCACTTTTCTAAACCTCTGTAATTATATCTACCACAAAATACATTCACTTTTCTAAACCTCTGTAATTATATCTACCACAAAATACATTCACTTTTCTAAACCTCTGTAATTACATTTACCACACAATACATTAACTTTTCTAAACCTCTGTAATTACATATCTACCACACACAATACATTCACTTTTCTAAACCTCTGTAATTATATCTACCACAAAATACATTCACTTTTCTAAACCTCTGTAATTATATCTACCACAAAATACATTCACTTTTCTAAACCTCTGTAATTATATCTACCACAAAATACATTCACTTTTCTAAACCTCAGTAATTACATTTACAACACAATACATTTACTTTTCTAAACCTCTGTAATTACATTTACCACACAATACATTCACTTTTCTAAACCTCAGTAATTACATTTACCACACAATACATTTACCTTTCTAAACATCTGTAATTACATTTACCACACAATACATTTACCTTTCTAAACATCTGTAATTACATTTACCACACAATACATTTACTTTTCTAAACCTCTGTAATTACATTTACAACACAATACATTCACTTTTCTAAACCTCTGTAATTACATTTACCACACAATACATTCACTTTTCTAAACCTCTGTAATTATATTTACAACACAATACATTCACTTTTCTAAACCTCTGTAATTATATCTACCACAAAATACATTCACTTTTCTAAACCTCTGTAATTATATCTACCACAAAATACATTCACTTTTCTAAACCTCTGTAATTACATTTACAACACAATACATGTACTTTTCTAAACCTCTGTGATTACATTTACAACACAATACATTTACTTTTCTAAACCTCTGTAATTATATTTACTACACAATACATTTACTTTTCTAAACCTCTGTAATCATATTTACATTTGTGCTGCATACTACATAAAAAATAAATCCTTGAGAAATTCAATAGGTAAATTATTTGTTTTAAAATGACAAATCTAGCAATACTTTTTTCCAAAGAGTTCTGTATAATTTGATCACTAATGCATATTATTAAATATTTAACAATATACCACCATGCATTTGTACAACTGTAAAAGAAATATAAACACCTATATAACATACAATGCCTTACTTTGCTCGTTTTAATATCAATCAATGCTCTAATTAATATAAAGGGCACTAAACTTGAAAAGTGCACTAAATTTGTGAAGCACAATCAAGTGCTCTAAAGTGAAAAAGTGCACTTGATTTATGAAGTGCACTAAACCTGTGAAATACACAAAATTTTGGGTAAGATGACAAAGCTATCAAGAAAACACAAACTGCACAAAGTCACCATCTTGAATGAGATTTTTTTATCATTTAGAAAATCTTTATTTCAATTCTTTAATTCCTTATTTCCGTCTCTACATGAAACCTTCCTACCCATTCCCCAATCACCAAATATAACCACACCATCAACATCCTTGTCACCCGACCCCTGAAAAATTTTCCCCAACCCTGGTCTCCTGGGGTTAACGGAGTTGTGACCTCAGAAATCACCAGTTCATTAGCCGCACTGAGACAATGAATCATGTGACGAGGCCCCATTTGTAAATACAAATTATTACTTGTAAGTCAGTGTGATGTATTGATTATACAAGCGACAGTTTTGTCAGCATTGTCGTCAGGCACTACAAGATGTATGTATTTAAGACAAATCAGTGGTTACACGTGGGCTCCCCTAATGTTTTAGAAATGACTAAAAATCCTCCACATACCTAAACACCTGTATTGCTATGTAGATTTATATTTTGTATCTTGATGATATATAATATGCAGCCTCTCTCTGAATCTAAGATGGCAGCCGGTTATGATGCCGACATCTATGTCACATTACAGCGGGAATCGTAGATATATTTTCTTGGTAATCTTTTCTGATGGATTTCGTTTTTGTCTGACAGGGAACCTACGTTGGCTGCCATGCCGACAGGAAATCGCTGGTCTGTATCCCAACTTTCCATCGACCTCTAATCCCGACCATTTCCTGTGCCTTCTCCTGGCATATGTCAGGAGGGAACTGACATACAATGGCCTCCATTTCCTGTCACTGTCAACCCATTTTTCAAGTTCCAAAATGCAGGCTTCAACAAAATGCCACATCCAATTAGTGACCATGGGTCAGTAACGATTCTTCTCGTTAAGATCACCCATGTCCCTTTAACCACAAATTATATGCCTGTGTACAATATGCAGACCTGAAACCTGCCAGTCAACATGTCCGAGAATATATAAGATTTGTGCTGTAGAATACATGCCAACACGCATCCCTTAGTGCTTCAGCATTTCTGCCTTATCTTGTCCTGCTTGTGAGGAAATCAACACAATAACTTCTAAATATTGTCCTTTCTACCCCACAGGATTCCGTCTACAAAACAGCCCTTCTGAATTTCAAATGACATTTTTTTTTTCATTTTTCAAATGACATCCCCTCCCCCACCCCAACCCAATTTGTATGTTTTCATTCCAAATTAAAAAGATTTTTTCGACAGATTGGGAAAGATTAATAAGATTATAATTATATTTACCTGTGAAAAGATTGTCTTAACAAAATATCACTGTCTGTTCCTAAAATTCTGATTGATAATCAGTTACACAAGATTACTTTTTTTCATTTTCAATTAGCGATGTATTAATGTGTTTTTTTAATTTTGATATGAAAAAGTACGAAAACACTAATCTACTATTAAGATTTAATTATATTTTTCTTTTAACATTTTAATAATTTCCTATTTCCCATTGGAAATAATTTTCTTCACAAATTGTTCTGAGTAATCACGTTTTTCTCTCGGTCATTGAACTTGTTTCAAAGCCAATACCTTTTTAATAAGCAGGATCTGTAAATCTCACACCTAATGAGTAGCATTATATATGCAAGCATTTTTGGTATTGAAATTATACAGTAATTTTTGTCTTCCAATACAAATTACACTTAAACAGGTTCTTTGCTGTTCTGATATAGCCATGCACCACAAAATAAAAATTCCAGTTTTCACAGGTCGCCATCTCAGGAGACACGAACTGCACTTAATTGCACTAGCTTCATGCAGCTCAGTACTGTGTGTTCAGTGCAAAACAGAAAATATCTTTCAACCCATATTCTCCATCATTAGTTTGCTTTAATCTAGTTAGAAAAGTTAAAATCACTTATTTTTATTTTTGAAGTGAAAGTTGGCTTTTTCTTAAAATGTTTATCCAATATGTGATGTCCCACTCTCCCCTTTTGGTTGTATCTTGTTAACAAATTGAACGTGATAAAGTAGAATAGAGTGAAAATATACAAATAGAGTTTTTTAAACATCAAGTGTCATCCCTAACTCTGAGGTGGACTACAGTGGTTTTACACAAAAGTTTGAAAAACTGTCAAATTTAATAAAGTCAAGTTTAAATAGACAAACTCTTAATTACCTCCATCTGGCTCAGTTAATCTACATCAATCTATACATATACTGTATATAGGTATATCTAAGCTTTGCCACAGTTTCATTTTCTCCCACCTGAAGTCATTTTATGAATGAAGTGAGTATAAAGATGGGCTTAAAACTGATGTTGGAACTGGAAAACAAAAGGTTCCATGTATTTTTGGAAAAATATTCTGGATTGTTTGAAAATGAAATATTTTTTGAAAGGAGAAAAAACCACCAGTTGAATGAACGGATCCCCATACAAACATGTCAAATGATAATTGCCAGCTGGTATGTGGTAAATTGCCTTGACCAATTAGAAACCATGTCGGCCATCTTTGATCTTGTATCAATTATTGTAATATTGTTATACAAAATATTATCATATTTAGTATATAACATACCAAATTTTCTTGTAATTGAAAGCTTTGATTTAAAAATCAGCTAAAAGGTTACCTAATACCATGGATCATATACATATTTCTACTTCTATCAATCAAACGATGTGTTCTGACTGATGGTTGAGTTCCAACCTTGCCAAACAAAATTTATAAATATCTGATACCACTAGTTTGTGAATTCACGTAAAATCTGTCACTTTGATGTCTGGTAATTATCCATTACAGTCATGCTGTTGAGAGGTGAACAACTTATCTCCCTCATTTCTTCTGCCAATCTCGAGC